TTTTCCTTCCCTGTAAATAGCTTTCCAGTTGTAATCTTCAAAGGTCTTTCTCTTTTCTTCCAGATTTGCGCGCTTTCTGCTATCTTCCCTCTTTTTTTCCTTCTTTCTAGTTCGCGAAGATGTTCCAGGTACTGTGTAACCAGCCTTTTTTTCACCACATACTTTTTGCTGACCAATAAAGGTTTCAAGAAAGCCTTCCATGTTGAAGCCAGAAGAGAGTACGACCAGGAAAAAAGGGTAGCACAGATAAAAAAAACAAGTGGACCAACTTAAGTCTGAAAAGGATCCTTCCAGGGCTGGAATTTTTCTCAGAGAAGATCATGTCCTAAAACCTCATGACTCCAAAACTATAAGACAGAATATGCTGGCAATTGAAAGCATTGAAACGTCTATTGATAAGGTGGAAAAAAGCCTCAAGGAAAACATGAAAAAAACTTTCATTCATCCGGCAGAATTTTGACCGGACGTAAAACAGCACATGATTTTGATGAAAGTCAGCTAACTTACTTGCAGGCTCTTAGAAGTGAGTTAAACAATACACGTGCTAGACTTACAGAACTTGAGAAAACATGCAATTCAGCATTTAAACACACTTTTTTTTCCGCTATGAAAAGGAAGTCCCGCTCAAAGAAGCAAAACAGCAGCAAGAGCAAGAAAAGGAAGAAGAAGCGAAATGTAGCAAGAACAACAGAGATTTTAAGGAAGATTGCTCCAGGGTTCAAGGAAGGAAAGGCATGTACAAAGGACGATTTAAGCGCGGGATCATCAAAGAACTTGGAAAGAGAGAAAAAAAATGGGCAATAGCTTTGACATCTTCAAGCTGTAAATTACTTGATTGCAGTGCCAAATATATGGTATGCAACATTTTAGGTGTTGGTGGAAATGCTAGTGATGGCAGTGGAAGTTGGGATGAAGCTGATCAGGATGATAGTGGACGTGATGAAAATGCTAGTGATTATTGTGAAAGTGATGATGGTAGAACTGATGATATAAATAGAAGTGATGTTGGAAGTGATGCTGGAAGTGATGTTGGAAGTGATGTTGGAAGTGATGTTGGAAGTGATGCTGGAAGTGATGTTGGAAGTGTTGGTAGGGACGGTGGCCATGCTTGTGGCAATTTGATTGGGTTTGAAAAGGAAATTGCTGATGATGACAGTAATAGTTCATACGATGTTGGTCCATACTGGGAAACCTCTGGATGTATACCTTACTGTCAACCAATATCTGACTCAGACTGATCATGTATATGTTTTTATACTATAGACCATATATTTGTAAGATTTCCGTTTGTTAGATTTTATTGTACCGCATATTATTGACATGAAACAATGTACACCATATTGCTGAAATTAGCAATGAACTTTACAGGCTCGGCAAGTGAGGAAATATATGAGTATCAACTAGTTGTT